ACCACTTCCGCATTTCCGATTGTATCTAAAAAGATGACCACGGCATTGTTCATTCGCGCAGCGGACTTCACGCTGCTGTGGCCAACAAGTTCACCCACAGCCAGGCTGCATTCCTCCACCGAAACCGGGAAAGTCGGCGGGATCTTTATGCCGTGTTTCCTCGTGAGTTCGGTCATGTCCATGGTGGCGTTTAGCACGCCGACACGCGCTGATCGACTGCAACCACTCACAAAGACCCTAAAACCAGCTAAATGTTCACACAAACACCGTGAGAAACACTATTACATCCAACGTTAACTAGTGACAAAAAATACCGAAAAAATCAGTGTTAATCGCTCTCGAACACGCTCCGTCAACTCCACACTCCTTCCACTCAGAGAGAGAGACAGACAGAGAGACTCTGTTTAAATATTTTATTCCATATTTAATAATAAATATGACCTATATCATTTCATATTTAATGATCTGCTCTGAATCTCGTTCGTGTTTTAGTATTATTATAATATAATATTATAATATATAATATTTTATAATATACATTGATATATATTATAATATTATAATATATATTGAGCTGCTCTTCATCTTTTATTTTTATTATAATATTATAATATTGTAATATTATAATATTATAATAGTTCTATTTCTCTCTCGTGATGCATTCAGGTCACGTTGTCGTCCTAGTTTTTGGGAGCTCCAGCAGCTCCTTCCTGTTTGTTTCTAGGTCAACATGTGAGAACAGAGAAGCTCTTCATGTCTTTGAACGCATCACTGAGTGTCTATGTGGAGGAAAGTTTTATTGAAACCAAACCAACCTCTAAACGACAAAGCAGTCATGGCCGCCTGCTGTGGGTTGCCTGGTAACAAGTGAATGCTGCTTTGTTCAAACACACAAAACTTTATCTAAAATTCAGATCCACGAACAGAACCTCTGCAGACTTAATGAAGCAGTGACGTCATGTACAGTTGTATTATTTAAATATTCTGTTTAAAAAAAGCTCACATCATATTAATCAATAAGATCAAAGGGATGCCCCGCCCACCACCTAGCTTTAAGTCACGGGATTGGACACTTGATTGACAGAGGAGCTCATTAAAGTACTTGGGACCAATCAGTGCCCTGGACACACATGGGCCCGCCCATCTCATTACCATACAGTAACAGACCCCTTAACACAACACGTACTAGCCCTTTAAATCACTCACTCATGTGACGTGTTCACGGTCTGTTCGTGAGGCGTTCACTGACCTGCTGCTGCTGCACGTGAACCAACCTCAGCCAATAGGAGGAGGGGGAGGCTGAGGAGGGCCGTGATTGGCTGTAGGCAGGAGTAGGGTGAGCTGACCTCACTGCTGCTAGGAACCACGTAGGTCTGGAGATACTAGGTTTATATACTGGGAGATACTCGGTTTATATACTGG